ATCTCGGTCCCAGCCGAATCGTAAATCCGTGGAATTGCTCCTCCTCGGCTTGTCAAACTTACCACAGATTCACAACCGGATGAGGGCCTCGAGTGGTAACATCGATACCGATGCTCGATTGTCGGTAATCTTGTAGGAACAGCGTTGTGGTTAGGCGATGGGACGAGGGATGTGTATCAGATAAAGGATAAGCATTTGTTTCAGTTTCTTCTTGACTCCCTTATCTGAGCTAACAGGCTAATTTATGGGTTCTCGGACGGAGCGAAGATAGGAAACAGATGTTGGATCATTGATTTCTTTCCTCGTGCTCCTTTTCATCGAGGTTGTTGCGTTTATTGTTATCGAAATTTCATCGAATGCTGAACGATCGATAGGAACAAGTCAGATTCTTTGGATTTAAAATTAAAAATCCAAATGATTTTTCATTAAAATAATAAATTAAATTTAAAAGAAAATATAAACAATTGAATTTTTCTTTATGATAAATGAATAAAATTCAAAACATAATTAATTATTGAAAATTATAATATATATATAGTGCATCATATTATTAATCACGATTATTTATTTAATTAATTAATTTAATAATTTAATATTAATAATTAATCACAATAACTGTAATCAAAGATCACGATTTTTATTTGATCATTATATCCGAGCTCATCACTTTTATATAAATATTAATCTTTAAGTTTTGAGTTTAGAATTTTAGAAATAAATGAAAATAAAACTGATTTCTTTTAATATCCGCTTTATCTTATGATCGTGTATTAGGGCTCATCATTTCTCGAAAAAAATATCAATATTTAACCGCCTATAGAAACTTCAAATGATACGAAATAATCGGGATTAATGGATTAAAATTAGAGTATAAGAGAATCGATAACACGTTTAATAGCAGAATTAAGCCTTCAGTCATAATGTAATAGCCTCGTAAAGGTTTAAACATGGAAGGATATCTCGAAGCGATAATTCGATTGAATATTCCGGAACAAAATCCGTTATTTGAAGGGGAGTACAAGCGCGGCAGACCTTGAGACTTAGAGATCAGCAGAATTCGAGGGAACGAAATGAAATTATAGTTATTACCAGTGTATCTTATGCCAGGGAAAGCATAGTTCCTTAAGCATCAAACCATTGCTTTGCTGTTACCGGGTTTAGGCTGACACAATGCTTGGAGTTTCGTCCCCTCCGGGTTCACGCGAGTCTAAAACTACCTACTAAACACCATTCGACCGATCTTTCCTCACCGATGAATCGACACAGATTATTCGCCATTTGCAGAGAGGAATGTGTTTCCGTTCGATCGTACCAGATCGTTTCTTTTCTGAAAACCATCTTTTAAACTCGGTTCCTTCTGTTCCCATCTCCATCCCCATCTAGAGAATTCTATTTGCGGCGCGTTGTACATCACGAACGCACTATCGACTTTTGTTCTTGAAATAAGTAGGGTGTGAAGTGTTTCACGATTGATGGAGATGGTGAAATATTTTAGATACATGTTTTTTTAATTATTCCCTATATTTTTTTAAATAAGATAATTAATAAGATGATCAGTTTGGTGAAGATCTTGAGATGATCATGACTTTAGGAAAAAAGTCATCTTGATTTTGACATCATATAACACTGATGATGATCTTGTATGCTCTTTAAACGAACATAAGTTTCAATAAATTAACCTCGATGGCCTTCGATATATTCAATAATATAATATTGATGACTTCTTATGATAGTCAAATGACCTTCCATGAGTTCCAATGGCACAACCTTGGTAACTTTCATCTTCAAATGATCTTGGATTCCAATTATAATTTTGATAATCTCAAGTTGATTTTCAATGTGAGTTTTAATGTGAATGTCACACTTTTGATGTATAATTATTTTGAATGAAGATTTGAAAAATTACAATATATTCTAGTAATTTTAGATTATTAAAAATTCATTTTATAATAATTTTCCATTTCTATGTATATTTCTAAAATGATTTATTTATATAACATTGCGTCGATTTAATTGGCAATTAATTTAATAATTATATATTAAATTTTTTGTTTTATTTTTGTTTTATTTTTATAATAATCATTAAATATTTAAAATTTGTAATCATGAAATTATTTCTTATTTTTTTTCAATTATATTTTTAATTCATAATCACATTTATTTTAATAGATTCAGTTTTAATGATTTGCTAAATTGAATTACACATCATTGCGTCATTCGTGCAAGAACTATGGACATATTCATAACATAATGTTAAAAATATAATTTTTTTATTTTTCTTTCTGCGATTACGTATAAGTATAATAAATTGTATATAAATGGTTGCCATTTACTATTGATCGATTTACTTTTGCCCACAGTAAAGGAGATAATCGCAAACACGTACAAGATAATCGTCATGATAATTTATTTAAATGTACAATAATCCGTTATGGTTTGTCGAACGATTTTACTATCGTCCAGGTCAACCGTTCCTTTCATTCCCAACATTAACGTCAATATTAACGCCGCAGTAAACGAGAAACGTATTGAAACATTAAAAAGAATTGTCCAACTCCAATGCATCGAGTTCAGGCTTCGATTAGCGACGTCTTGAATCGCTGTCGACTTTCATTTTAAAGAGCGTGGTTCGCTCAGATACGCAGTTATCTCGCTTTTAATTAAAGCACATTAATATGCGTCTTACTCTGATTATCTCATCGTCAAGATTTGTGAGATGTTTTTATTTTTTTTGTAAGAATTAAGTTTTTTCTCTTTCTCTCTCTCTCTCTTTCATATTTCACTTCTCTTTTAATGAATCAAGAATTTTATGAGTAATTTTTTCCGCTGAACGATTACTCAATTGCGCGTGCACTGCATGGAAATGATCTTTTGGATCAGATTTCCATGATGAAAGTGAAACTAATGGAACGAGGGCTCTGTGCCATTAATTTTAAGGAAGTTTTACTCGCTACCGTTGGTTTTTTCACAGCAATCGTGGTAGTATCGTGTTCTGCACGCGTCACGAACCCGCCATCAGCTCGAAGACACATGATTATTTAGAAAGTATCTTGCCTTGGATATTATGGATACATAAATATCGATTGTTCCTGCTTAAAAATCTCTGAATGTTTGCTATACGATCAAGTTACTGCTAAAAATGTCATTAATTTAAAAAGTATATTCTTTCTTATATAATATTTTTATTATATAATTTATATTATTATATTATTAATTAATTAATTATATTATATTATTTATATAATATTTTTTATTATATTATGTTATTGATAAAAATTAATAGGGAATTCAGATGATATTAATGAAAATATTAACTTGTGTTGCTACATCACGTATGATAAGAAAAATGTTATTTCAAATAAAAATCGTCTTTGTTGATTCTTATATTATTTCAAAGAGAATAATTTAAAAGATTCAAAAATATGAATCTTTAAAAATGATTACGGAAATAATTTTGTTGAAACATTAAAAATATATAGTATTTTCAAAATGTTTAATAGAATATTAAATAATAGCATTTAATCCCAAAATTAAATAAAATGACACTTTTTAAAGAATGTGTATTATTTTATAAAAATTTTATTACAAATAACTAAATATATACGAGATGGTTCACTAAATATTATCATTTCATTTTATGGATGTTATTATTGATAGCAAAAAATTTTTCAAATAAAATTAAATAATTTCAGGGAAAGTATATTCTGATATTATTTTTTTATAGGATACATAAAAAAAACGAAGATCATTAATATTTTTTAAGGTTATATTTTTTATAAAAAAATATTAATCTACTTGTCAAAAAATTATTAATTTCAAATAAATATTTTAATTTAAAGTTTTTAAAATTTATCATATGAAAAATAAATAGAATAATCAGTGTCAGTGTTCCATATCTTTTTTTCTTTTCTTATATATATTATAAACTTTGGATTAAAATATCTTCTAAATCAATAATTTTTGAACACAAATAGGGCTCTTTTGTAAAGAATATCAAGTTATATCAACTAATATAGTAAAATATATATAATTCCATTTAAAAAAAAATGTTAATAATCATCTCATATCCTCTACGCATTTATCTACAAAAAAATTACAATAACACATGTGCCTTTCTGAAACCATTCAAAAACCCCATGAAATATTTTTGCTACAAATGAAAAACGAGATAGTAATAATTCCGATGAACCATTGAATATAATATAAATCCTGTATATTATAATTTAATTTCATTCGACTTTTCATTTAAACATTTGATGCCATTATACGGCCGTATAAATTCATCCGCGAATAAGAATCAAATTCCTCCTTAGATATTTTCAAAATGTTACTCTCCCTTCAATCGTTCTAACTGAACCGTTTCAACACTTTCGCTTGAAGGAAACGCGAAACGTAAACTTCCCTTGCCAGTGCCAACAACCCGTCCACTCTCACCGAAACGTCCAATCATCTCTCAGTCACAAAGTTGCTAAATACTCACCGATGCTTGGTCGAGGCAGACAGCGGTGCGCGTCGTGGCGAGAAATAGCAGGAGGAGCAGGAGGGCCGCGTTC